CTGCGGGGATGCAGCTTCCCACCGATACGGGAGCTCCCGATTGGAGCTGGGAATGCTGTATCCAAGCCAGCCCGGCTGCTCCGAGCCCGCAGCGCTCACCTGTAGTTGGGAAAACACTTGCTTTGCCCTGCGAGGGAACATTCAACATCTCCGTGTCTCTCTCCAGCGAGGAATATTGTTTGTGTGAGAGCTGACCGCATGGAGAACATACCCACAAAACACAAACAAGTAGCCCAGGTAATAATAAAAAAGGAAAAATAGAAAAATAATCTCTGTCCTGGTAGGAGGAGGCTGCRGCGGGGTTGGGTTGGGGGAAGGCTGCTGCGGGGCCTCCAACTCTCGTTTCATGTTGTGAACATTTCCACTTGAGTGTTTTTGGAGAGTTGAAAGTTAGTGCGAGAACCTCTAAACCGTCCTAACCGAGAGGCAATGAAATCCTGCAAATCCATTGAAACACATGAAAGCCATGAATGGGAATGATGGAAGTGCCTTGCTTCCCACTAACTAGATTTGGGCAGAGTGTTCGCGCCACGTGTGGCAAGGAAACGGGAATCTCAGAATCCCAGAAGGGTTGAGGTTGGGAGGGACCTCTYGAGATCAGCTAGTCCAAGCCCCCTGCTCGAGCAGGGACACCCAGAGCACGGGGCACAGGGTGGCATCCAGGCGGGTATGGAAGACCTCCAGAGAAGGAGAAGGGAAAAGGCGGCAGCGGCGGYGGGACGGCCGTGTCCCAGCGCATGTCCCCTCTCCACAGAGCTACGAGCAGTTCCTGCGGCTCTCCCCGCTCCAGCCCTGCCTCCTGTTCCACCGCGGCGGGCACTGGCGGGAGCTCGTCGTTCGCACCGGCCGCCGCGGCGACACCATGGCCATCGTCACCTTCCACCCCCAGCAGCTGGGCCAGGTGGGTCCGCGGGCGCGCGGGGACCCGGCAGCAGGGACAYGGGCTTGGGGACGTCCTGCTGCCACCGTGTCCCGCTGCACGGCACCTTCCGGGGAAGATGAGGGAGGTGAAGATGGAGTCAAGACTTCTGAGGGGTCCCTGCAGTGCCAGGGTGCTACGCACCTGRAGTCACCTTCACTTCAGCTGCGTGAAAAGCCCCTGATGGGCAGTGTTGTACCCACAGACCTATGGACAGATGCAGTATTTATTGAGATTTGTGAGTAGCAGAGTCCCTAGGTGACATCTGGCACAGAGGAAATAATGCCAGGACCTACCCTAGATCCATAAAGAGTCAGAGATGATGCTCAAGTGTCACCGTGTTCATGCCATGCTCGGCCACATGTGGGGTTTGTGGCAGTGCGGGGCTATGAGGAGGCTTCCAGGGCAGCACCGCAGCTCCTGGCTGGGTGCACAGCTGGGGAGAGGGCTCTGAGCAGATTCCCTGGACTCAATTTTCCCTTCCTTGCTCTTGACAGGAGGCGCTGGCTGCTCAGAAAGCATCGCTGAAGGACTTCTTCACTAGCGGACCTGGAGCAGTCTGTGCCTTGACTTCACTTTATTTCCAGGAGAGGTGAATAGGTTGATGTTTCTAAAGCTCGCAGGGTGCTGCAGGATGGAGGAAGGACCCATGGAAGACGGAAAGCAAAGCTTTATCCTTTTTTCTTGTCCATCTCTGATCRTACTCAAGTTGTACAGTTCAGGGAGTGCTTCAAGGCAATGACGGATGCTTGGATGGCTTGTTTGCCAACATGGCTTTGAGATGGCCTCATCTTTTCTTTATCATGAAGTACTCAAAATAATTTAATACCCTCTGGCTTTACCTTATGGGAGTTTTGAGCCTAGGGAACTGAAGAAAAAGTGTCTTTCCACTTTCCATGTCTTTTCCAAGACACTAAATCAAGCTAGCGGCTGAACTGGGAATCCTAGGATCCTTGATCCTTGACTCCTAGGAGTCATTTTGACCCTGCTGTTGAATTTTAGGTTGTGCAAGTCACAGATCCCTTACCATTAAAATATCCCCAGGAAATAAAAGCAGGCTTAATTGGTGATGAGGGGCTTCAGAACTTCTTTGCAGTAATCCTCTGCCTGCGTTGGCCGCGCAGCACGATGACCCGCTGTTCCCACGAGCAGTCGCCCTACCAGCTCCTTTTCGGAGAGCAGCACATCTTCGAGGAGCTGCTCGGCCTGAAGTTCCGCATCTCCCCGGACGCCTTTTTCCAAGTGAAYACACGTGGAGCAGAGGTGCTGTACCGGGAGGTCGGGAAGCTGAGCCAGGCTGATGGAGACACCGTCCTCCTCGATGTCTGCTGTGGCACGGGTGAGCAGCAGCAGAACCCTCCCCGGTCTCCACATCCTTGTTGCTTCAGTTTGGAGCTCTGCAATGTTCTTGTGTCCTTCACTTCCAGGCACAATTGGCCTCTCTCTGGCTCGCCAAGTGTCCAGGGTTATTGGGATTGAGATAGTGGAGAAGGCAGTGGAGGACGCCAGGTGGAACGCAGCCTTCAACGGTGAGTTTGGACTCGCTGCTGCGGGAAGTTTCAAACAGATTTTTGGAAAATACAAAGCAAAAGTGGAGAAGGGCTCCTAAGAACTATGTGCAATGCCCAAAATGGGAGGTGCTTCGTGCTGCAGCTGCCCCCATCTCCTTGCTTGCATATGGAGTGCCCCTTCCATCCCTGCGTTACTGATGTGATGTCAAAGACTGGAGCTGGGTGGTCATGTAGGGAACACGCGGTGTGGGACAGCATGGAGAATGACCCGGGTGGGACGGTCAGTGCTGGTGCGGGTAGCGTTTTTGTAAAAGACTTGCAGTCCTCAAAGCAACACCGTGCAGTGAGGAGATACTGGGAGGTTTGCTTTGCTGGCGGTTGCGGCTTTCCGGCTCTCCGTGCACCGTGTGTTTGCTGTCCGGCCACGCAGGGATTGCGAACTGCGAGTTCCACGCGGGGAAGGCCGAGGCGGTGCTGCCGCGGCTGCTGTCGGCGTGGGAGCACGAGCGGCCCCTCGTCGCCGTCGTGAACCCGGCCCGGGCCGGGCTCCGTAAGACAACACGCTACTCATTCCCGGTCTTAAAAAAGAGAGTTTTGAATGAGAACGTWGAGTTCTTTGCTGGGAAGCCCTGGGTGGGACAGGGCGTGCAGATGTGGCCACACAAGTGCATTGGGAAGGTTTATGTGCCTGTTTCACTTAACAAATCTTCTCTAATCCTTCGTTCTCCTGGGAAACAAGGGACATTGTCAATCCCATTGTCAGTGGGAGCCACGTCCTTGCCTTGCTAAGACCCCCACCTGAGACAGGGCCTGGCACAACAGGCAGGACCCCCCTTTCCCTTCACTTCTCTCAGCCCAGTGAAGTTCCATGCAAGGGATCTGTGACTGTCCCTTCTGGAGAAGCTGCTGCCAGGGGGGCCGTGGCACTGGCCAAGCTTGGTGCCCTTCCAACCTTAATCATTCTGTGATTCTATGATTCTGTGATTCCCTATGATTCTCTGATTCTGCTCCTGCAGATCACAGGGTCGTGCGAGCCATCCGAAACTGCAGGGCCATCCGGAGGCTGCTCTACGTCTCCTGCAAGCCGGAGGGTGAAGCCATGAGGAACTTCCTCGAGTGAGCACCCTACCCTCCTTTCCAGCAGGGATTGACCACCACCCCGGGGGCTTCTCCCAGGCCCTCAGGGCTGGCTTGGGATGCAGTCTAGGGGCTTGCAAGCCTTACATCAGTCTCAGCCGCAGACTCTGATGGATGTTGGCCAAACCTAGCGCATCCCTGCCCTATTGCCCCACCGTGCAGCCGTAAAGCTGCTGCTTTGGGTCCCCAACACGTCCCTGGAGCGCGGCGCTGCCCGCAGGTTGTGCTGCCCACCGGACGCGCAGAGGAAGCTGATGGGAGAGCCCTTCATCCCCGCGCTGGCCGTTCCCTTCGACATGTTCCCGCACACRGATCACTGCGAGCTGCTGCTGCTGCTCACGCGCTGACGAGCCGCCAAGGCCGCCCCTCGGCCTCCCCGAGCGCTCTGAAAACCTCCTTAAATTTATTGCCTTGAAATGTGTATAGAAGTAAATAAATCTTTATTTTTTTTCTGTTATCTTGGGTTGCTGGACTACACTGTTCTGGGTAGGAACACTCAGTTTTCTGTGGGGGAAAAGATTCTTGGCATCTCTTCACCGTCCCTTCCTCTCCCCCCATCTTTTCTTCAGCTGCTGGTCAAAGCAGCTCGGAAAACTCCTAACTTTCTCCTTGATTTTGTGGATTTTCACCACCAGCATGTGAATATGAAGCACTAAAATTCCCACTGTTCTCTTATACTGTTGTTAGCTCTCTGCTCGCTTCAAGGTGGTTTTGGTATTTTCAAAGTCRACAGTGAACCTTCTACGAGGGAACTTTAGGAACTAGAAATCCCTGTGTTTCTTGGGGAGAAAGTGATCCATTTTGAGGAAAATATTTCCTAAATAAACTTCAATAGCTGTATTGCCTTCGGGGTTAATCATGGTCACATAGCCAAAACAGTAGTAAGAATCCACATAGGCAGCTGAGACACTGAATTTGAGTCAGAAAGAGGAATTTCCTACCCRATTTAGGTGACTAAAGGGTTAATAAACTACAGGGACAACTGCCTGCGCTAAGGGCTACAATTCCAGCTATTTTCCACAGATTTTTGACTCCAGTGCAAAGAAACCCTAATCCTGGAAAAAAMCAGCTGCCACCAGTGAGTTCTCAGATGGGGCAAGCTTAACATATATGGGCTCAGTGCTCAGACCGCTACAGCCAGCAGCAGCTGGACTGAAAAAAGAGGTGATATCCTGCATATTAGCCACTAGCAAAACTCTTTGTGTCCGTAATTCCCCCTTTTTGCTCTGCAGCCGGTTGCTTTGGGGCCAAATGTCCCTGTTTTCCACGAGTGCTGTGCGCTCGGCCGCCGTCCCGGAGCCGGCTCCGTGCGAGCGATTCATGGAGCGCGCGGACGGGCAGAGGACGCTCTGAGCATGACAGGGGTGGGCATTCCCGTCACGCGGCCCGCGCCGGCTCCGCTCGCATGGCTGCGGGGCGTTAGGACCCGGAGGCTGCGGAGCGCCGGAGGCCCCTGTCCCGCTGTCACCCGCGCCTGCCGCGACCTTGTTCCTCCTCTCCTTCAATGGTGACGGAGCCGCTGCCGCCCGGGCGGGCAGCCGCGGCGAGGCCTCGCTAGGAGCGCTTCCCGGCGCATCCATGGCATCCCCCAGGACCATCACCATCGTGGCGCTCTCGGTGGCCCTGGGGCTCTTCTTTGTCTTTATGGGGACCATCAAGCTGACGCCGCGGCTCAGCAGAGATGCCTACAACGAGATGGTGAGTGCGGCGCTGCGGGAGACGCTGCAAGGGGGATACGGAGCAGCAAGGGAGCCTGGAGCACCGGGAGRGAGAGGGAACGGGGGTCTCACAAACCCCTCCGCCTCCTTATCCGGCAGATCCAGAGGGAAATGCAGCAGGGAGAACCCCCCGGCAGCCTTTGCTTGGGCTCTGCCGGAGCCTGTTTACGGAGAAACCTCCCCTGGAGAAGGACAGCGCAGGGGAGGAGGGATGGAGGTGCCTGCATAAACGTCTGGAAATGAGGGCTCTGCAAAGCCAAATGTGAGGGAGGGCATAGCGGGGACACAGAGCGGATCCTGGGGCTGCTGGGGGAATACCAACGACCTGGGAAAACAAAAGGAAAAGGCGCTATCTGCCTGCTTTGGGAGCCGCAGCATTGTTCTCAAAATTATCCGTGCTTTAAAGCAGGGATAATGAACCGTCCTTGCCTCACCGGCCTGTGTGGGGATTAATTTCTGGCCGTGAAATGCTTTGAGATTCTTAGCTGGAGGAGGAAGACATTATGAAGTTGCATTGTTGTTCTTCCCTTCGCCCGGAGACTGCAGCCTCTCCTTCCTCTTGCAAAGGGCGAGCAGAGGAAGGAGCCGTCGCTCCGGGCATTTTGCAGCTGGTCCCAGGGCCCAGCCTTCCGCAGAGCATTCCCTGCTGTGGGAACAGGCAGGATGAGGCTCTGTCCTCTGCATTTCCCTCCTTGCTTCTCCCTCCTGACCCCGTTTTTGCCATGGGTATTGCAATGGCTAAAAGGGGCTTGTGTTATTTCTTGGGCCCCCCTAAGAAGCGGTGATGGAAGTTTCCAGCACGTTCTGCTCTCTGCCATCTGTGCTGCTACCTGCCCGGCTGCTTTTCCTGCGCTCTCAAATGACATCCGAGCTGCGGGGTTTAACCCAGACGAGAGCACCTCGAAGCACCAAGACACAACCGGGCAGCAAGAAGTGCAGTTAAAATGTCCTGAAAATAAAGCTGTTAAGCTGTTGCTCCATAAATAATAATAAGGAAAAAAGCACCACAACTTGAGAAAAATCCTTGCAAAATCTCCGTTATGTTTTCCTTCTCTGAGAGTCTCTTCCTACTTCTTTTTCCCCCAAAAAATCAGGCGTACAGGTAGGAATTATCCCCATTTTTGCAAAAGGGAAAGCAGAGGCTCTCAGAAGCAGTATCATACCTAATACCCTGTATTGCAACACGGTGCTGGCTCATCAGGTTCTGCTGCTTTTTGCTGTGCTGCTCACTAGGGTGGTCCATAAGGTAATGGAGACGTGAGGGAGAACTTGATCTTGCTGATCAATAAACCCAGCTCTTGCTCCAGGCAAGCACAGACCCGCTGTTCCCCACTTGCAACATCAAATGTGCATTTGTTTTCATGCAGAAAGAAAAAGGCACATTAGTTTCTGTATTAAAATATTGGAAATAACAGCGTGCAGCAGGGCACGGTACTATTGAGTTTCATTTTAAGCTGCATTTTATACAACAGGTTTAAAAAGATGGGTTTTTTTGAGATGAGGTTTTGCTCCCTGGGGGGTTAAGGTGTATTCTTAAAATACATAACCGGGAGTAGAAGTGTCATGGATGTTGGGTTATTTAGCAACAAGAATGCTGCACATTTTGGCTTTGGCAGCATGTGAAGGAAGCAGCAAAATTCACCAAAAATTGGGGAAGTTTTGGGTGCCCATGATGCGTGTTTGCACAAGGAGAGCTGAGGCGGGTGCAGGCTCTGCGTAGCGCGCGTGAGATCTGCGCTGCCTGCACCTGAGATGGGAGCTCCCGTTTCTCTCTCCTGATGAGGCAGCGGGGAACACAGCAGCAACAACATCCGCAGGAATAGCACATTCTGGTGCGAATGGAAATAATATCATTACCTTTAGAACAAGAAAGAGAATCAAATATCTGGCTGAAGACAAAAAGCCTCCAGTACTTAATGTTCAGATGCAACAATCTGAACGTATATAAAGAAAGAGGTTGTTTTCCCTGTAAGAATAAGGAGTCTGTCTAAAGAGGTTGTCTTTTAACCACACTGCTTCTAAATCCAGCAGAAACCAGCCAGGAGGATGGCAAAAGACAGGTTGCTTTTAGCAGGGAAAGGAGAGACTGCAAAGCTGTGTGAGCACTGGAGTGAGTTTGGTGAATCTCCACTTTGATGCCTAGTCCCACGCTTAGATGGTCCTGGGATATTCCAGGCTGCTTTGAGGTGGGGACTTGTGGTTTTGCTCTGGCCTTTGGCTTGGCAGGGACTTGGTGCACTATTCCATTAGGGATGCTGCTTTGGGGAGAGTATTTTTTTAATAAGCTGGTTCTACATTGTTAATTTTAGCAATGGTAACTTTAGGGGAAGGTGTACCCTTGGGCTGGTCCTAGCTCGGGAGATGGGTCCTATCCTGAAGAGCTGTTTTCCAGCTAAGAGACCACGTAGAAAGCTGGGAGATGCATCCAGCTTGGAGAAACTGATCTCCACAAAAAGGGGGAACTGCAAGCTAATGGACAGTGGGAATATCCTTCCAACAGGAGCTTTAAGGATACAGGCTGGAGATGAGGCCAGAGGAGTCTGCAACGACCAAAGCACAATTAAATTGCATTGCAGATCACTCTATGCCCCTGAAAGCCTCATCCCTTGCTCACATTACGGTGCTCTACGCTGTTTCGTTCCAGAAACGAGCCTACAAAAGCTACGTGCGGGCCCTTCCCATGCTGAAGAAGATGGGAGTCAGCTCCATCCTCCTCCGCAAGAGCATCGGGGCCCTGGAGGTGGCCTGTGGCATCGTCATGACTCTGGTGCCCGGCCGCCCCAAGGACGTGGCCAACTTCTTGCTGCTCCTCCTCGTGCTGGCCGTGCTCTTCTTCCACCAGCTCGTGGGGGACCCGCTCAAGCGCTACGCCCACGCCCTGGTCTTCGGGATCCTGCTCACTTGCCGCCTGCTCATCGCCCGCCAGCCCGAGGAGCAGCCGCYGGACAAGAGGGTCCTCTCGGTGAAYGGCGACGAGCAGCCGCCGGCCCACGAGGCAGCTGCCGAGAAAGGCAAGATGAAGGTATCCTAGTCGAGCGCGTTGGAGGAACACGGACCCATGAGGCAGCTCCTAAAGCACCCAGATCCTTCTTTTATTTTTATTTTTTTTTAATTTACCTATTTATGTTTTTTTTTTTTTTTTTTTTTTTTGGCTGTCTAAATAAAGTTGCACGTGGGGTCTGAGAGACACAGGGTATGTCTATGCTGTAGTTGTGCTTCTGCTGCTCCCTTGTATGGTAGAAAACCACAATAAAAACCAGCGAGCCTGGAGGCAGCCTGGCCGGAGGAGCCCCGGCCTCAACGGGAGCTGCAAAACCAGCCTGAGAACATGGAAACACCCGGGCGGTTAGTGAGTGCTRCTGGAGGGGAGCACTCAGTCCCTGTCAGGCAGCTTAAACCCAGTCTAAAGTTGTGACTTAGCTGCAGCTGCTGTGTAGGACATAAGCAGGGTGTCCAGGGCACGCGTCCCTCGCTGGCTTGTGCAACCACCCCGCTGAGCTGTCCCATACACGTTTCTTTCACATAGGCAAGGGGAAATGGTCTTGCTGAGCAWAAATAGGAGTCTTTGTGTTGGAGGCAGGGATCCTTAGTCTCTGCTGCCTCCGTGACCAGTCCTGCTTCTCCAGGGAAAACACACAATGCCACTATTTGCCTTTCCCTGGATTTCTACTCTTTGCAGAGGCTCTAAACCTGGGGCATTGCCCTGGCAAGAGCAACAGTTTTACCCCGCTTCACATGAGCCACTGACACCCCTCTCAGCAGACAGCAAAGACTCTGGTCAGAAGATGCGGAGAACTGCCCAAAGAACAGATTTTAACCCCATAATAAACCCCCAAATCCCCATATGTGTGCCTGCTGCTGGCAAAAAGCATCATGCTCCCTATTTCCTTACAGGGGTGGAAAATATCCCCCTTTTCACTACTGCAACTTTATAATCTTGTTGGTTATTGCCCATAGCTAAGGGGCTGAACCTGCCCGGGTACCTCGTTGCGCATCCCACCGTCCTGCCACAAGAGCCCGAATCCCTGTGTGCTGTATCCGAAATCTTACCGAGTGTCATGACAAGTGTGTTTTAAGCTCTGTTTGTTTCCTCGATGTTTGTCTGTTTTCATTTTTTTTCCCCTTATTTTCTTAATTATTCACGAGAATAAACTTTTTGAAATTTAGAGGAAAATGTCTCCACCGTAGCATATATATATTTTTTTTCCCTAAGAGAGGTATGTCTGAAAATAGTTTTCATGGGCTCAAATCTAAATGGCTGGAATGGTTTAGGGGAAATCCATTGAGAAGGACAAAATAATGCAAGGTGGAAACCACGTGAACATTTCTAGACCGAGCATTAGCTAAAGACATATGAGAGATGTTTAAGACATAAAAAGACATAAATGTCTTATTCAGTACAATGTGTCAGTGAATAAAAGAACTCCCAGCCCCAAAATRTTGATATTATATTTCCATGAAATTGATAGATGTTCACACGCAGATGTTCACACCTGATCCTCCAGTTTTCCTCTTATACGAGGCTGCTGCTGAAACAGATGCCCAAATATCCTGCAAAATCCCTCTCCAAGAGCCCCGAGCGCTGGTTGTCCCCATTCTCAGCCCGGAGGAACCTCCTTGGGAGCCCATTGCTGCCTTCACAGACCRCCTCAAGGTCACCCCAACCCCCCACACCACCTCCTACGCTCCCTGGAAGGCCAGAATGAAGTTAATAGCCACTTATTAATTCACAAATGAGATAAGAACACCTCGATAACCGGACACAACCACCAAGCAGCAGCCYGGCTGCTCCGAGGCCCTGTCTCGTGGCGGGAGCTCTGTATTTATCTATATTGGATTGACCTCCCTCCTTGCCCCTCAGCATTAGGCGGCTATTTCGGGACACCACGCACCAGCTTGGCTGTCTGGAAGCGATAAGGCGCCGTAGAACTAATTTAGCCCCTTGGCAACACCACATTACGTTCACTTTCCTTTTATTTATTTAATCACTTTTTAGCTCTTTGGGCTCACTGCATTCGCACTCATCCACCCAAGCCCCGGCCATACTGAGGCAAGCTGCAGCACCTCTCCTCTCGCCGAGAGAGGCACCTCCCATTGCGATTTGACCATTTTTAACGTTTTACGCCCCAAAAGCGCAGCCCTCGCCCACGCGCGCGCCCCTCCACCCCCCGCCCCTCCCGGAGCGGCAGGCGAGCGCCGCACTGCGCACGCGCAGGATGAGGCGGGTGGGGGGAGCAGGGCGCATGCGCACGGCGACGGCCGCCACCCGCGGCAGGGAGCTGCTGCCTCGCTCCCCCCGGCGCATGTCGCGCCGCGCATGCGCACGGGGGGAGGGCGCGCGTAAGCGGCGGCGGCGCCGCGCATGCGCGGGGCGTGGCGGGAAGGTTTGAACTGCGGGGCGGTTGGGGCGAGCCCGGCGTCAGGTAATGGCGGCGGCGGGGGGGCTGTAACCATGGCAACGGCCCTGGCGGGTCGCACACGACGGGGGCGACGTGTCCCGGCCGCCTCGGGCGGGRGGACAGGCCCGGGACCCGCCGTCCCCGCTTCCCCACGCGGCAGCGGGCGGAGATCGGCTTGGGGAGGGTGTTTTGGTCCCCATAGGCTGTACAGGGGGGTCCCACTCCGCAACAAAACAAAAAAAAACCTGAAAAAAGTAAATATATGGTGGGAGGTGGTAGGGGGAGAGATTCTACCGAGCTGCCTCAAACCTATCCTGTTTTCTTGTGTCCCCCCAGCACTGCAGGGCTGTGCCTGGCAAATCCCGGGAACTTGCAGCGGAATTCCATGTTCCCTGGGCAAARGTTGGCAGCTGGATTGTGTGGGGGAGAAAACGCCCTATTTTGGGAYGAAAATGCAATGTTTTTGTGGCTGCCTTTCAGCCTGAGCTAGGTAGGCCTGCTTCGTTCATAGCGCTTGTCATTCACCTGGGAGCTATGAAAATTAACTCTTATTTTTTTGAAATAAATTCTAGCTGCTGAGTTGAAAGATTGTTTGTGGATGTAACTTGTTTCTAGGGAGGTTGTTCTGAAGAAAAAGCTTGAAAAGGTTAGAAATACAGCACTTCCGAAAAGCTTTGGATGCCAAATCTTGTTTACTTTTTTTTTTTTTTCCTATAATTGGGCCTGTTTATGTACGGGAAAACTGTTATGTCAAGTTCTGTATAAAGCTGTTCAGGTGAGATGTATGTAGAAAGTTCTTTCCTTATCCAGATTGGAAGCCTGCTTCTGTTGATAGTTGCTTAAAATAGGAAAAAGAGTGTTGTTTTTCTCTAAAATCTGCGTGCTGCCTTTCAGGATTTTGCGACCCATTGACTGATTACACTGGTATAAACACTGCAAGAAAATAAGCCAAGAAGAAAATGTTAAATGCATTTTGCAAACTTTACAGTTATCTTAATTATGAATTGAAACACTACAGAAACCTTTCACAATCAGAAATGATTTCACATAAATCAGAAAATTTTTAAGTTGAAGGGAGACTGTATTAATCTTAATTTGTGATTTTTTTTTTTCACCCTTTTAACCCATGAAATAATTGAGATTTGAGGCATCTTGTTGTTCGTGCATCTTCTGAGCTTTCAGGAGACAGGCTGCTCTAAATTGTTTCTCATGGAGCTGCTCTGTTATCTTACAAAGGTTCCCTCTGGGATCTCTTTTTCAGGAAAAACAAATTTCTTGCAGGCAGTTGGCTTCCGTCGTTCTCCATCTTTTTGAGGTTCATCTCTTTTCTTCCCTCTTTGTGATGAAGGGTTGGAAACCCTATGACAAATGAGTAACGTTCTCCAGTCTCAGCTGGGAGCCTGAAAAGATGCACCGAAAGCAGAGTTCTAAGAACTCAAAGCAGCCTCTGCAAGTTCACCACAGCAATCAAACCGACCTCTCTGCATGGCGAAAAGGAGGGAAAACCGAGAAAAGCCTTCAGAAACATCAATCTTATAACAGTCAGGTGAATGAAAGCAAGCGAGACTCCTTCGAGCAAGCTCTGAGCTACTTTGAGAAAGGTAAGAGTGGTTTTAAAAATACATATCTCTTACTAGAAAGACCATCACTGTTTTCTTAAAACGCAAATAAAACTCTCTTCTGCTATATTTACTTGTCATATTCCCTCTCCTAGTTTCTGAGATTTGTAAATACCCTTTAAGGTCTTAGAATACCCCCTTTTTGTCGCTATGTATAGAGAAATGYGTATAGGGACCTTCAGAGAAGTTTCAGTTAGTTCACTTACAGCTCAGAACTTGTTTTATCCTTGATTTGTCTTTTTCAAGTTCAAGATCCGGTTTCACTGAGAAAGAATGAAGTTTTGCAGAAACACTTGGCCACSGTGGAAAGCACTGCCCTCGAAAAAGGATTACCCCCTGAAGCATTCGATGTGTTGCTGAATGTGGCACTCAGTGGCAAATTTGGTAAAATGTTCATGTACTGCTAGCGTGTTGCCTGAGAACATGTACCCCTTCCTTCTAATCCGACCTGCTTTGAGAAAATGTGTGCATGGTGACTGAATTGTAAAGGACTTTGATGTAAAATGAGTATTTCTAGCATTCATAMCAAAAATAACCTTAGCTTTGCTAGAGATAAATGATAACCAGATTAATATCAGGGTATGRTTTGTTATAAATATTTATGAAGAAGCCTGCTATTTCCTTTGTTCTGAACAATCCGGCATGGTTGTGTAAATGTAAGTGCTAACATTAAACACTAAGTCATGCTGATAGTTCAGCAGTGTCAATGCAGACTTGATGTTACTTTTTTAATATTGATGGCTACTATTTGTACTTCTATTCAATTAAAAAAGAATTAAACTTTTCCTTCCCTTAACTCAGAGGTGCRCACAGGATTCTTCCATTATGTAATTAGTTATTACTTTACTTGACTTAAAATTATTAGCTATCTCCAAGCACTAATTTGCTGAGGTTAAACTGACAATCATATACTCATTTAATATCTTAAAATAATGGAAGGAAGGGTGCTGTTAATCCATACTACACTAGGTTAAAAATATATATACACATATATTTTATAAAGCATACCGTGGGCGTCTTTTGTGCCTCTGATTCTTTATTTGAGTCTTGGCTTGAATCACCCCTAGTTGCTTTACATTTATTTTCCTCAGCCATTTTATCAGGCTAGGTTTAAGCTCTGCTTTTGGTACTTCAGATATTGTGTGGAATTAGARGCAAAATTATTTTGCATAGCAGGAAATTATTAACTTGGGCAGTATAGTGAAATACACTRCTATATATATTGTGTCTTGTTTTTACTGAAAAACTGCTCACTTAATATTACCATAAATTTGTATTACTTTTGGATGACTTGCTAAGAGTCTAAAGAAAGCAAGATTCTCCATTCTCATTCCTCAATCTGGAAATWAAAAAAATCCCCTAATTTTTGAGAGAAAGATGAATCCGTGGTGTGGATTCTTSTGCATCATTACTGTGAGCCTTAAAGTTCTCAATAACCTTGTCCAACAAGGACTTTGTTTAAATTTGTTTTTTTTTTTTCAGCTGATGCAGTGAATACTCGGTTACTGAAGTGCCTAATTCCAGCCTCAGTAATACCCGAAAGTTCTTTGGTTTCATCTGTATCTTGGCTCTGTGTCAGCAAATGCTCAGGCAGCATCCAGGTAACTTCATAAACGTTTGCAGTAGTAATTGCTTCTGTTGCGGGGTTGTTGGACAGATTATTTTTAGGAAGCAGAAGTGCTAAGATTTTAATGTAAATAGTTCCTATAGAAGTTTCTGTCATGTAGAAAGACTGATAGAGAAGCTGTTATTGGAACAGCAGTTGAAGCTGAGAAACAGAAATCTGAGTGTAAAATTGTGCAACTCCTGCTTGTTTCCCTGCTTTTCTGCAGCTGCTTTTTCTAAGATGGCTGATTGCCATGTTCGACTTCATTGATCACAAGGACCAACTTCATGCCCTCTATGGTTTCTTCTTCTCCTTCCTGCAAGACGAGAAGATGGTAAGCAGAGCTGAAAACAATATGGAACTGACAAAATAAGTCTAAATGCTAGTTGATAGTATACACACTAAGGTTAGAAATAGTGGTTGCAGTGGGTTAGATATCCTTTTTATAAAATTAGAACTTATTTTTCCTTTTCCTTCTGGGTTTCTGAGTTTGCTGGGTAATTTAGTTCCAGAAGCAGGGAAGTAACATAGGATTATTTTAGTCTGAAAACTATGTTCAGGTTGTTTAAACATATTTCCAATAAATGATTTTCTGTAACAAGAAGAGAGTGATGTATATTCTGCCTGAATTTCCAAGGGTCACGGTGACACTGTGGTCTCTGGATTGCCTTTAATGTCAGACATTAGCAAGAGAAGAATTTTCTGCTCCTGGGGAGAAACAGACTTGCATATTTAGGACTAAGAGAAAAAAGAAACCAAACTTTTAAAGCAATGTTTATTTAACAATAAGAAATCAAATGCTGTTCTATTTAAATGATTTGGTGTAGTTTAAGTGAGAACAAGCAGTCAGGGGATTGGCAACTGCAYAAAAATCCAGATACTGTAAAACTGAAGTGTTTAGGTTCAGTTCGRATTCAGAAGATCTTAGCAGTTGTTTAAGACAGGAAATTGTTAATATCTTTCTATTTATGTTTTTCTTGTTAAGACTTTTAAAGTTTCCAGAAGTTATAATTCCTGTCATATTTCTAGTGGCTGCAGGCTAATTCTGTATTCTTAGAATTTAATTTCAAATTATTTAAGATATCATTTTCAGACATAATGGAGCAATTCCCAAGTTGAGCAGAGCTGGTGTGAAACCAATTGAAGACCCCTGTAAAGGTCTAAACTGTAAACTAAGCCTAAACTGTAGTTACAAGTTCTACTAAATTATTTTGATTCAAGGATGCCTTTATCCTTCCACTGCTTATTCCTGAAATATCCATCCTATGTTCCAAAAAGACAAGCCCCAGCCTCTTTGTGTAGCCTTATTACTATAGGTACAACTMAAATTGAAGGTAATGGTTCTAAATAAAATTGCCGTGTACCATCCATTGTAATACTGCTCTGCAATGTGTGACCTGGCATCTAGATGACATGAGGCCGTGTAAAAACACATGGGATGCAGCCAGCTGAGAGCAGTAATATCAGCTTCTGAAGCCAGTGTGGGGAGGTGTCACTTGGAGTATGAGTGTGCTCTATTGCTTTAGTTAATGAGGACAGCAGTCTTCRTCAGCAGGATAGTTAATTGCTGCCTTGTCTTTGCAGTGCCCCTATGTCTGTCACCTGCTTTACCTGCTGACCAGGAAAGAAAGTGGTGAGTGTGTCCAGCTGTGTGAGCTTGCAAGGCCATTTTATTTGCTGTTTTGTTTGTTTGCCCTGGCTTTTCTTCCAACAGAGTTAATACAGTTGTTAGGCAATTTGTTGCTTTTAAGGCAAAGAAGCTTGACTGCTAGAYCAGTCTGACTTGTGTAATAATTTCTGAGTCAGCAGCCTATTTGCCCAGAAATAAGGCAGATTCTGCTTGCTCTGCCAAGACTTCCTATACTAAAAGTGATTTCTCATTTTTATCTAAATGCCCAATATAGYGTTTTTACTCATAATGCTCTTAACTGTTTTTCCAGTCAAGCCTTTTCGCATTAGGAAACTGCTAGACCTCCAGGCAAAAATGGTGAGTTTATTTCAAATTTTGTAGAGTTTGAACTGTAGCTAARCTTGCAGTTGTTAATACTAATGTCCTTATAGGATGGGGAAGAGCGTTTCACTTCTTAGGATGGTGTTAGGCCCAGAAGTGTAGCTTCTATTCTTAGCAGCATCAGAAATTCCCCTGCATGTGCATCCTTAATTCTCACATGTTCTTTATGAACACATGCAATGACATGTACTAAGCTATACATTTTATAGCTAGATAAGATAGAATATGTAAACTTAAAAGCAGTTCCTTTCTACATATATATATATATACACACACACACGCACTTATTTCCTCCTCCTGTTTTCTGTACCCCTTCCTTTTTTAAGCAGTATCAAACCTGTGGGTGAGAAATACARGATTGTATAGGTTCCTGCCTTTTCTGTAAGGAAAAAAAAACACTGTAATGCTAAATATATTGACAGTAAAATATAAGTAATATTAATGTAGCTAGTTCTGATTAATGGTTTTCTCGAGCATGTAGGCAGCACGGATAGAATGTATTTCAATATTTTCAATATTTCTCATTGGAATATGAGAGTTTCTCAATATTTCTCTTTGTTTAATTCCTTTCAATGAGAGGTATGATAGAAARTTCTCTTCCTGATCTCTTTCCTAAGGTATTTCATTAATAAAGTTTCTGTTCTTTTCTTCATTTCCTTTTCAGTCATTCATCTGTGGTTACTTTGTGGCAAGTAGCTTTTAGTAAGCCTAGGGATTCTTTTTGCCCCTTCAATGCATTATKGACCTTCTATATCAAAAATATCCCATGCACTTGTACTCTCGTTCTGTTACTTTACAGGGAATGCAACCTCATCTGCAGGCTCTGCTATCGCTTTACAAGCACTTTTGTCCAGAACTGATCTCCATAACCCTTCCTGGGAAGATGAAGGTAAGGAACGAGGTTTTCCATTTTTTTTTTTTTTTTTTAAGCATATTTTTTACTGAACCTATACATCTATAGGTTGGCAAGTTGTGCTTCCATGAAASAGAATGTATTTGCAGCTGTGTGTTACAGACTATAGAGTTATAGAATTATATCTCATCGTCATGTAGTCTGTATTTTCATCTGTTGGAGAATTCACATTTTTTTGTTATGCRCAGAAGTGAAGCATATAGTTAACAACTAAAAACCAAATTCATCTTCAACTATTTCAATTAACACAATTTATTAAATGTTTCTATACCTAAACTGAAATCAGCCTTGATCAAGTCTTTTTTTAACACATATGTGCGAYTTATTCTCTGAATGGAAAAATAATCTTAAAAAGAGTTATAAATCGAAAGTGCTGGAGACATCTGACTCCTGAAAAATAGGAAATCAACAGCTACAYTTCTATATTTCTTCTGATCGTCCTTTAAAAGGTAGTAAAACTGAGGAAGGAATATAGTTTTGTGCTGTCAAAATCTACCTTCTTGGTCTGTTAAGCATGGACAATTGAGTGTATATACAGCTCTGCAGTGACATGTTTCAATAGAATCTGTCCTTTGTCACTTTTTCTTAGTTCAGCCTCTTGCATTGATACCTGATTTCTGTTTTCAGACCTACTTCAAGAATTCAGAGGGCCCATGGAAGGCAGCAATGAGCACAATAAGGCGAAGAAACCAGGAAAAATCTCCAGTCTCCCAGCCACTGCTCCTAGGCACAACTCAACATCAGTCTCGGAAGAGAGTAGGTTATGGGAATTTAGGAGGTGCCAGGCAGCTCTTTTTTTTTTCCTGTCYTGAATTCTGTCTGGTAATGCAAGCCAGCCTTTAATTCAGCACTGGGAAAGATATGATAGCAATATGGAAGTATAGCATTCCTGAGATAGTGATAGCTTAGAGGCCCTTTTTAATAAAATAATAGGGGTGTTTATGGGAGCATTGGTCGCAGGTTTATGCATTGTGTACTTCACTGAATTGGAAACAGAATCATTGCTATTGGTTGGTGAATTTTTGTCTTTACAGAAATGGAATACCCAGTTGATCTTACCCGCAAGTAGTGCCAGCACAAGTCATTTAGCAGAGGTCAAGGATAAGAACAGTGATTTATACAGTATCAGTGAATCTTTTCCAGTGGAACAGCTACAGACCTTTTCTCAGCTCCTACAAAATATCCACCATCTAGAGGTGAGTGTCAGGGAAGTTCTTGGGAAGCTTACTGAGTGTTGGTGAGAGATCAATGGACCTGTGAGTAGTACATATGTTGCTTAGCTCTGAGAGAGCAGCTAGCCCAGAGCTAGAGAGCTGTGGCTGATTAGAGGCCTCCTGTGTCCCCTGACAAAATGCTTGGACAGCTGTGATAGCATGAGCTTCACAAGCAAGTTGCAGAAGTAAACACAGAATAACTAATTGTCTTAATTTCTTTTGCAGCTTCCTTCCCAGATGGGTTCTGTGCTAACACATCCCTTGTTGCTTCACTACATGAATTGCATCAAAGATGAGTCTATTTACCTGAGGCTCCACTATTGGATGGGCCAGACTCTTCAGGAAGGTAGGCGCTGAACATCACCTTGTATGTAGGGAATTAGAGGATGTTTGACACTTTTCATCTTTCAATAATGGTACTTACTRACAGGGATATTTATATAGCAGTAAAACAAACCCTGAAGAATGTTTTATATTTTGCTTCTGTTGGTACCTATTCTTGCTGTACCTATGCTCAAATRCAGTATTCTTTCCTGTTTAGAATGCACTTGGTGTGTGGTTGATAGTAGTCAATATGAGGAAGAATTCAAGGACTTCCTGGAAATAGTCCACAAGACAGAGTGTTTCTTGCAGGTAAGTGCCTACTTTGCATAAGCCAAGGTTTTCCTGAAGTCATCCCTTAAAATGTGTGTGGGACTTGCCTGTTTCCTGTAGCATCTCTGAGAAGTGACAGTGTCTCAAGTTACCACAAAAGCAATAAAAATATGTATTCCTTTACTGAGCCCATATTCTTGAGATGGACCTAGTTACTGCAGGAAGGAGGATTTGAGAAAATGTATTTCATTAGCTAGTATCTGGATGAATTGCGTGGCAGGAAGAAGATGTAAATCTCTTCCCTCTTTTAGGATGAATTGTGTCAGTTAATATGGCAAGGTTTAGGCATTTGAGATGAACTCCTGAATATTTCTCTCCTTTGTAGGAGGGATTTTCTTCCTGTGAAGAGTTCCTGTATAGAAGYCTTCCTTTCTGGGATGGCTTCTGCTGCCGATCACAAATCCTTAGACTCATGACTTGGATCCCACTCAGCAGCTTCTCTGGTGCGTGATACGGATCCTTTGGATGAGGCTGAACAATGTCTGGTCTTGGGGGTTTTGGTTTCATACTTCTCTTATTTATTTCAGAAATGAAGTCGCATCTCTATGGTCCCCTGGCACAGCTCTTTTTCACGTCTTCCCTTTATTTTAAGGTAATTCAAGTGAGCCCACTGGCCATTTACTTCTGGCTGGTAGAGCTAKCTCCACTTGTACAAGATATAACAGTCCAAGGGTTTTTACAGTTCTATAATGTGTCTAAATAAAGGTTAAATATATACTTGAGATGTAAATTCTTTGGGAATATGAGTACATTTAAGATATTTTCTTTTTTGACTGGGATTAAACTATAGCATTGGAAATAAAATTGACACTGATAGTATGTGAGACAAGAGTTGCTCTGTTTTATTGTAATTTTAACTTTGCATTYGATACTCATGTTCTCCAGGAAAGTTTAAGTAACACATATATATKCAGTTCATGGGGGCATCACAATTAGCTCACTTCTTTGTTGCCCTGGGAAACTCTTTGTAGCTTTCCTTGTAGACTTCAGTTCTGAGGACATGTTTCTACTTAGTACTATTCACTTAGGTAAATTGTCATCAGCCTGTTTTCTTTTTGCCCCTTGCAGTGCAGTGTTCTTGAGAGCCTGAAAGAGCTGTTGCAGAACTGGTTAAATTGGCATGTGATTCAGCTGGATTCAGAGTCTGATTCTCAAGGTTATTCATTGTAAGTTTATCTGAAATAAATTAAAAAACATGTTTTGTGTGCTGTTCACAAAGGTACTTTTATATATACACATACATACGTTATATATGTATGCATGCTTGGTACATAATTCACCTTTATTAACTGATACAAAGACAGGCTAAGAGGTCAGTAATGCTGTAATGGTTTTGCTTTATTGTGAGCTACCTTGTCAATCTTATTGCTTGCTATTTCTATAAAAATATTCTTCAATTGATACTGAAAACTGAAATGTCCAGAAGTTAGGATTCCTTTAACATTGACAGCTGGGCCCCATTTAAAGAAATGGATAACAAAGTGTCACTGGAAATATTTGAGGAGAAAAAGCTGTTGCTGAATGGTGTTGGGGGTGGTGGGGTAGAAGGATGACCTTCAGCTTCCTTTTCAGCACTTTTGTTTTGTACTGTTTGTGAAGAAGTGCATGTGCTAATGCTGTATGTCACACTGCTGCCCCAGGAACACCACTCTTTCTGGGCTAGTGAACACCGTGGCTGAACTGATCCACTTTGTTGGATGGATCTCTACTCTTGGACTGCGCTTGGAAGGCAGTGCTACTTTCCTGCTGTATTTCATTCTGGATTTCTATGAGACGGTATGTTATCCCATTAATTTTGGCATTCAAAATTCTGTTTTCCTGGAGGCTGTTTCTATTTTTAAGCTAGAGCATGAAACTGTTCCTGAGAACAGAACTTTCTGATACCTGGTAGATCTTCAGGTGATCCCTGCTGCTTTCACATCAATAGGCTGATCTAAATATTGCTTCCAGAGAGTGGTTCTGTTTAGTTTGAAGGTGTCTTGCAGAAAAGGAAGTAAAACGTGATGTAATGTGAGCAGCTGAAGTTTTTTTTAGTAGTAATTTACAGAAAAGAACAAAATTCTGAACAAAAGTACAAGCCAAGACTTCTACATAAAAATAATATAAAATATCAAGGCAGGGAAAAAGTGGCTGCTCTTTTTTATAAGCATCTAGGTAGATTTAACCTAGCAAATGATCTTATGTCTTAACCGTTTAAACTCACCTTATGTTTAAGCAGACACTTAGACATACACTGCTGAATTTGTCCCCCGTTGAGAAGGGAACAAATGGAATAGCTTCACCCTGGCTGTGCCTCCAAGGTGCAGCTGATGGAGCTGGCAGAAAAGCGGGTTTCGTGCTCTCTTTTGTTCACTCCATGTTTTGGGGGTTTGTTAATGGCAGTAACAACTGAGGAGATTTACTTCCTTCCTGCAGGTGTGTGACATTTATCTGCGGTACAACCTGCCTTTGTTGATAATGCCTCCTGCTGGAGTCTTCTACCCAGCTCTGCTCAGCATGGATTCTGTCAGCTTGAATCAGCTCTGCTACATCATGTACAGGTGCTACAGTTGTGTGGGCTGCAGGGACTCCTCTTTTGCTCTTTTGGAAATAACATTACTTTGGTGTAAAATCAAAATCTTCCCTCTGCTTTTTCCCACTACGCAAGGCAAAGGTGAAACGTTCAGGCTGTGCCCAGCTCTCATGACTGTCTTTTATAGCTGTAGTTCCTAGTCTTTTTTCTTTCCCATCTGCTATCTCAAATAGGAGAATTCTGACCTATTGTCTCGTGTTATTTCTGTGTCTTTGACAAATGAAGGAAGAAGTTCCCATATTTTAAGAAAATTTCAATTGGCCAGCAACAAAGAGCTAGCTGTAGAACTTCTCATTCCTTGCTCTGATCCCTAGACTTAGGCTTTTCCTCTGAAAACTGTAATGTGCTAAATTCAAAGTGCCTTCTGCTGTCTCTCAACCCCGTGGGGAATTTGGGGCTGTTTTGTGCTGCCTGCAGGTCTGAAGATGGCACTGTTCAGCTCTCTGCAGGATCCATGAACAGGGCTGCTGCTGTTGGCCTTGTTAGTTCCAGTGGTTGCATCTAGGAAGAGTAGCCAATTGCTGACAGCTGGCGTAGGGCTCTCCATGTGCCTTTTTCTCTAAGGAGACTGCAGGGTAATTAACATGACAGGATGGTCTCTGGGAAATAAAAAGAGCTAGTGCTTATTATATAGAACAACTGTCAAGTTGCATTACTTCCAGCGGCTTCCCTTTCCCTACTTGGTGAATGGAGGTCTCCCCATTTAAAGATACACTCCGTGTTTCTGCTGGTTGCAGGGCTCCATGTCACTCCTTGCATCYAGCCTTTATGAAGGTGACTTTGCCCCGTGCAGACCAGTCTCATATTACTAATCCAGGAGGTGACCATGATCAGGTGCCTTCCTGCTCCCCCAGGAGAGACTTGGTCTATGCCAAGAGATAAAGCACCTCCTGCTCGCTCGCTCTATTTATTTATTTATTWATTAATGGTCTCTCTGGAGGAAAAACAATTTTTAATTCTCTGTAATCATTTCTCCAGCTTTTTTTCAACACTACTCTCTATTCCAATTTACAGGTTTCTAATGTTCTCTTTTGTTTTTCCAGATACCGAACCAACTTGGTAGCTGCAAAAGAAAATGAGCAGATTAAAAAGGTATTGTGGACAAACCTGGCTGGCATAAATGTGCTAGAATGGACCTCAGTAAGGAGTTGGGATGAATAGAAAGGATAGAAAGGAGGTGTTCTAACAGCCACCTTTTTAAGGACTAGAGGGAAATACTCAACTGCTTTGAGGATGCAGCTTTCTGATTTATTTTCTCATTCCTCAGAAAATACTGCAATTCAAGTTCAGTAGTCAGACCTACCAAGAATACAACCAGTATCTAACAGCCATGGTGGGGTGTCTGTGGACATCCAATGCCTTCCAGAAGGACGTTCACCCTCAAGGTCTTCGTCTGGATGAAGAAGTGCTAAAGAAAACCAGAGTGAAGGACTTTAAAAACAGCTTTAAYGTTGTCTACCACCCAGCCCTGATGGGTTATGCTCTCCTCTTCCTGCAGCAGGTAATGATGGAAGCCAATGCTCGGCCCTTTGGCAGCACCAGATGTTCTAACTTGGCAGTTTCTCTAGAGTCCCAGTATAGTGGCTGAGTAATTGGCACTTCTGGAGTCAACAGAGCTTTCAAAAGCTGGTAGGGCATTCTGCGTGAATGTCACATCAGGGGCACTGTTTGAATAGTTTTTGTTTGTGCGGTATGAAAGTAGGAATGTTGTAGTTCTAGGATGTGAATTTGTGCTTCTCGTCACTTGGAGGATAAAACTAAAATAGATAAATAAGGAAAAAAAGAGGTAATTCAGTGCACTCTTTCCAATGTGCATCCTGCCCCATGAAATATGAAGTGCACCGTAAACTTCACAACGTAAACTCCAGAAAATCAGGAACTGCAGGGTTGTGGTGCATACAAATGCTCACGGTAGAGCTTTTAGCACTGCTTGCTGGCTCTTGCCGTAGCTGTTGAGAAAGATTCCTTCAATATCTCTTCCACTGGGCCAATTTACCCATTTTCAAGCATATAAGCAGAAGGGGGATAACATGGTACTGCTTCGTATTGCCTGGTGTGTTTGGGCTCTGCCACTCAGCTCCTGGAATTCCAAGTGCCACCGTGCGTCAGTGCAGCTCCTAAATAGTGAAGGAAGCAGCTTGCGACAGCTCTTACTGTGCTGAGGTGCRCGTTGCTCTTAGAGATCAGGTTCTACAGGCTGTCCAAGGGGTGTACAAACCATCTTTTTTTGTTGTGAGGAATGCTGGCAAACTTAAGGTGTATGTAAGCGTGGGCTCCCTGTAATGAATTTAGGAAACCTGAGGTCGAAAAGTTGAAGCAGTGTAATCCTGCTTAGGGATGTGTCACAAATTTGAGTTGGTTTCTATGCTCCAGATTGTGAATCTGAGTGCTGCGTCTGTTACTGCTGATCTAAACCCAAGCTTTGTCTTAGCAAGATGATGTTTCATTTTTGTTAAATATATTCTTAAAATGGTAGAATTAAGTTCTTTTGCTCTTTCTGTTTTTGCAGCAGGATTAACCTTTCATATATATATATGTGTGTGTGTGTAGTCTAATTTCCTTTTCCTTCTGAGGTTTTCTAATTCCTCCTGTAGCTTCAGCAAGTAGAAAACTACTGATGAAGAATTTTTGACTTCTTCCTACTATAACGTCAAGACAGGTTTCACTTAAGATCTGTCTGTGGTCACTACTAAGACAGGAAAAAATATTAACTGCAGTCCTGTCTTCGCTTAAAATCTTGAGTGCTGAGCACCAGAGGGCACTGCTCTGCAGCACACTGAGAACAGAAGCAATAAACTAAATGTCAGTTAGATTTTCTCCTCTTTCTCAGTCTCACTGTTGGGAATTGTCCATCTAATGTTTTGAAGCAGTGACTTGTACACCGGAGAGACAGTGGTTAGAGATATCTATAAATGCTCTGTGTTGCTATCCAGAAATGTTGCAGCTGGGGGAAAGAGGGTCTCTGTGCTGCCTTGTTCTTGTGGAGTGCTTTAAGTAAAATGCTGGAGGTCTGTTCTCATGCATGATTAAAAATCCCTGAATTTCCTTGCACATATGGAATTCAGGATACAAGAAGGGGCACCAGGCAATTGTGGGCACGCTTTTTATCTGGCTTGACATGGTTTTTATTCCTTCTCTTTTAGGCYTGGCCAGATGATAACACCTTCAACTTCAGTTTAATTAAGGTAAGGTGGTTTTTTGTGTGTGTGTATAATATGAAAACAGGCCCTCATCAGCAACTACCCATCAGAAGAGGATGAGGTGATATATTCATTGACTTCAGAAATGCTCTGTAGAAATTTTGAAAGACACAAATTCTGGCTGTAAAGGTAGGTTTCATCTCGCAGCATGGCCAAACACAAGTACATCAACATCAGAAAATTTGAGCTATGTATCCAGCCACATGCAGTTAGTGATCTGAGATTTTTAGATATTCCATTCAAGACTCGGTACAGGACAAGGAGGCTCTTCATTTTTTTTTTTTTTTCCTGTGCAGATTTTGCAAAAAGTTGTGGGGTTTTGTTTATTTTTTTGTGCAACTAAAGCAGAATTTCAAGCTTAATGTTACTTTGTTTTAGCTTTAAGCAGGAGCCCTGCACTGAGTAATCAGATATAGTGGCAGTTCCCCTTCCTGTATCAAGAATGTACCTCATACCTGCTCTGGAGGAGTTGCTATTGGTGATGGAARAAGGATTTCCATATCCACGTTTCTTTGGTCCTCAGCTTCCTCCCTGGTGATTCAGTAGCCTTTGCACTCTTTGGATTGGGATTTATGTGCATTTTTATGTGCATTTTTAGTGTTAGAAAAATCATGTTTTTAATACTGAAAATGTACATAAGTTCAAACTAAGAACATGCAATGTATAAATAAAGAGTTTGAGCATCAGGGAAGAGGATGTGACCTCTGTACGTTGGTGGATATCTATAAAGTAGGATGGATATTGGGCTGCAATAGGTGATATTTGCAGACATTCTCCAATGAGCTCAAGTAAGGGACAAAGCCATGTCCTGCACAGCTAACTATTCTCTCTGTTTTTACAGGGAAGGAAGTGGAACTGGTATCTGGAATATCTCTATGCACAGGGTTTAAAAGGCTTGAAACTCTTTATTGAAAGCAGCATCAATCGTGTTTCTCCGGCCTCTCAAATTAAAGAAAGGAATATGTAAGTGTAACCCTGGGACTCGCTAGAGCCTTTGGACCACYGGAGAGCAGAATCTAGTGGACTGCATCACTAATCCTTTCTTCCATGAAGGAAAGAAACTGAGTGGAATTAGCCTTGTCTGCGTTTTGATACTGACGTTTATTTTAGAAAAGTGAAAACACAGAAGGAACAATTAGGCTGGTTTGGTTCATTAACACTGAACCCCTCTGTCCCTGCTGAGCTTTTTGATCTGAAGCTACTAAGTTCATGTGCTGTGCAACATCCACATTTTCAACCATTTTTCTTATAAGGAATAGCTGTTTTGACTGAGGGACAAATATTTTCCATTTCCAAAGTGCAACGAGCAGAGCTGCTTCATTTAGAAGGAATATCTGCTACCTGACCTGCTTTGCTTCTCTCAACAGTAGGTAACGAGGAACAACTTAATCAGCCTTTCAAGGATACTGTGTGTATACTGGATGGGAGGACTGCAAGCTTCCTGAAACCCCTCTTACGTGATGTATATTCTGGGTCTACGCCTCTGTAAGAGGCTGGCCAGACTGCCCTTCTAAAATATTTGTTTCTGTATGAAACTTCCAAAAGATGCTTTTTGCTAGCATTGCTTGTGATGTTCTTGTAATGCATCTGGAATAATTGGTGCCCAAATGATGGTTTATTGATGCTTTGAGTACCAGTGTAGCCAGCAGGTCACCATTTTCTTTGATAAACTCAAATGTAACTTTCCTTTTTTTTTAAGCTCTGTACATGTTGTGTATTATATGTGTACATATGTATAATTTATATTCTGTGAAATGCTTCCCATTTGYCATTTTGAAGGCATTCTACTACAAAATATCTTTTCTCATGTGATTTCCTTTTAGCGCTTAGTAGAAGTCAGGAGAAGATGAACTCAGGACATCAGAACTGGGATGAACTTTATTTCGCTGCTGTAAAATTAGGTTATTACTACTCAGAAGATGGGCAGAGAATGCTGAAATTTGCGTTGTGAATTTGTACTTTGATCAAATAAAAGGAATGACTTTAGTTCCTCACAGTTACTTCAGAGCCACTAGAGATGTGAAAGATCTTGATGACTTCTTCATCCTCTTAAAATCATACTGGCTTCAGGTTTTATAGACTGTCAAACTTTTCAACTCAAGTAGATGGCCTGATAAATATATGCAGACATATATATGTATATTGAGGTGTATGTGCGTGTGTGTATATATATGTATTTTATATTTATAGGATAGGTGAGTCTCTAACATCCCCAATGATCTCTTTTAAAGGCTGMTATAGTTATTTTAGACTACCTTAGTGCATTGAGATGCAGCCTCTCTGTGTGCCTTGGTGATTTTCCTCTTTTCTCATCTGAAGCTGCCTTCTCCCCACCTTCTTTCTTTAATTCTTTTTTTCCCCTATTAATGTTTCACCTAAATGGAAGAATGAGCTTTTTTCCCACCTAACTACCATGGCAAATTTTGTAGACCATTTTCTCTCACCAGCATGTGCTTAAAGACTTGGCTGCCAGTAGCATCTGTTCCCAGGGCTGAGATGGAGCCCATGAARTCCCCTCCGCTTTCTGGTAGGTGACAAAAGGCGTTAATGATAGAGCAGCAGTTGTTCTGGCTGTGAATTTTTCTGCAGCTTTTCCAGTGCTCTACTGCGAGGCCTTTTGCTTTAGGAAAATCTCTGAGTTGGTGTTRGGGTTTCCTTGTGTGGGGTGAACGGCCCCAGCTCTGCTGCTCTCTGAGGGAGCTGTGTTGAGTTCCACCACTGGAACATGGGTCCGTGGCTCACAGAACCAAAGCTGGTACCTCCTCCGCTGCAGGCRCGCTGACCTGAACTTGCTGCATCCCTAACTGCGAATGCCACAACCTGGAGTTAAGCTGGATTCTTTTTCTAAAGCCGTATTCGCTTTGTGTTTCTGTTAATCAAGATTTTTATTTCGTGGGACGAGAACAACTTGTGCATCTTCATTTATCAGGCTGTGTTGTCCTTTCAGAGAGAGCCTGCTCTGAAAGAGTTAACAATTTCAACCTGTTTTCAGCTGCGATGGAGAAACTGGTTCCTCTGTGTCCCTGCTTTCTAGTCTCTTGTTGGCCTACTTCCCTCTGCTTGCATTTTGCATTCCTAATGCCATGAATAAATCAGGACCCAAGGATTTAGAAGGTGGTACAGCTGTAGCCACTCAGAAAATTGAACCTCAGGGACTTGTATTGCAGCTCTAGCAACTGCCAGTACGTGTGCTGCGCTCGGCTAATAGCGTTTAACTCGCACCGAAGTAAAATTCACTTCAGTAGCCTGGATCAGTGCGGTTTAAACTCTCATGACTCTGTCTCAGAAGGATGTTGTGATGATTGAGCATATTTTATGAATAGTTTCAGGTTATTTGAATGCAGAAAAAAAATGAAAAAATATATTGGAGTAGTAGAGGTAATAATAATATTATCTCTCTTGCACGGTGCTTTCAGCAGCAGATCCCACGAGACTGGTATTGCACTAAAGCAAGTGGGAGCTAAGAAAGAAGATGCAAGTTCTGAGGGGAGTCTTAGCATCTCAGTAGTTATAAAATGACCAAAAAGAGAGAGTTCTGCTTCCCATTGTTCCTATTCCTGCTTTTGCATGGAGATACCCACTTTGAGGATATTGTTTTTAATGGGAAGTTATATTTTGAAGGAAGGTTGGACAATAATTGGGGGCCAAAGGGGAGGATTCTGCGCAGAAATTGATAAGGGAAAGAATYGAGTGATGTTTCTAAAGCAGGGCCACAACATTTCCACTTCTTCAATACAAATAAGATGATGGTCCTTGTCTTTCAGGAGACGTGAGGTTTCAAAGGAAAGAAGTTGCAGCGCGTGAGGAGAGAGGGAGACTGCGTTTCAGAAAGCAATTCTCCAGGGCAAGGACTATTTTAGCACACAAGAGATAGGGGAAGCAAAACAGTAGCAGGTAATGAAAACCTTTAACTATATCGACAGTTAAAGGTGGTGTATCGACAGGCAGGAAAGCTGGAGATAACCTTTCTATGGGCTAGTAATTCAGGGTATTTAGCATTATGGATATTCCATCTTAAGAGCTATTAGGTCAAAATTAATATTGGCTTTCAACAAAGGGAAATAATACTCTGAGGTCAGACCATAGAAATATATATAGTATTTGTCTTTTCATTTTTATRCTAGTGTTAATATGTCCCCATATAGAGATAGTTTTCACCAATCATTTTCCGAGCACATTTTGCAGCTTTGCATGTCTTTTTGTGTTGCTGATTTTAATTTCACAAGTGTAAATTGGAGTCTGGTGATTTAMATTGCCTTAAACTCCATCATTTCCAATGGAGTCGCATTGATCCAAATCGGAATCTGCCTTCTGTTTCACTTAGGTCATATAAAACCTGGCTCCACTTTCTCTATCGTGTATTTGTGCATGGTGCCCAGCGTTGTGCATGCTGCAATGTCTCTTCCAAGCACGTGCTGATTCTCGGTTCTGCTAGCCAGACTTGCCTTTGCAGCTTAGTAAAACCTGCAAAATCTCAAATGGATGGTGGGTACAGCCGTGCACCAGTGTCTTTTTGGAGCTCCTTGTGAGATGAAGTTATCTTCAGAAGTCCAAGCGTATAAAACTTATCTCTTCCCATGCCTCTCCCGTGCCCTGTGCACAGCTGCGGTGTTTACACGGCAGGCTGCGTTCATGRCAATCTGACTTCATCCCCCTGATTTCCTTTGAGTTCTGGGCTGCGAGGCTGTTTGTCCTACTTGAAACACGAGGTACCGGGGGGACAAGGATGATGCCCCCCGGCCACGAAAGCAACTCTTTCACCAGAGATTCTCTTTTGCCTCCAAATTTAAACTAAACTGACATGAGATTATTTTCCTCCTCCTTTTTCTGTCCCTAAACTCTCAATAATTTAAGCTGCATGGACTGCAAAGTATCTTATTTTTTTTGTGGCCTGTGCAGTCTATTAATGTCTCGGTGCTGTGCTCTGTCTTGTGTGCAAGTGTAACGAGGCTTGATCCCTACTCGCTTTATCTGTGTTGTCATGTTCCTTATCGAAACCGCTGCTGACAGATGTACGCGGCAGTCTGATGTGGTTGTCTCCCCGCTGAATGGTGTGTTTGGAATCGCTCGGATAACCCTGCTACTACAGGACTTGCTTTATTTGTTTTTTTAACTTTCCCCTCCACTCTCCTTAGTTAACCCGGGGCTCGGTTCTGTTCTTTCTATCCCAATCYTGTTGTCTTTTGTCTAAATGTGGCTTTTCAGACCATGCAGTTTGTTGCATCAATACAGCTATTGAGGCAGCTTTTGCAATCAGAAGCTGTGGAGCATCCACATGTCTAGGGTTGGTACTTGAGGCTCATTTCAAAAGACATTATTTGTGAAGTTTATATATATATATATATATATATTTGTGAGGTTTCTTCATGCCTTGTCTCTCTCTGTGCTGATGGACTCTGCTCCTGACTCTTTCTTCGCTTACCTGGGAAGACAGGAAAGGTTCCTTGGAGCTGGCAAATCCTGTGCTGGAGTTTCTAGCTGGCTCCACTTTGAGGTGGTTTCTTGAGAACCGCTGAATATCAATATATTTTGACTGTCCTCCCTGCATTTAAACTGGTGGCCTCGAAAGGCTGACATCCTTATTTTGTGAACCCTATTCAGACAGGGGAGCTAGGACTCCTCAAAAGCTGTTCTGAAGAGGAACATGAACCTAATGTTTCCCAAGTTCTCCTTTTCCCAGGGAAAAGCAGGGGCAAGCTAGTGGCTAAGACATGAGACTGGGGTCAGCTTTATATCCTCTTCYTGACTCATCTTGACCAAGTTTGTTTGTTTTCTTTTATGCAGTGTGAGAACAACATCAGTGGCATCTCAAGCACTTCGAAATCCTTGGATGGAAGGAACTATAGARCTGCAAACTGCTTCTTATGGATGAACTGGAATCCAAGCTCTGGGTCTGCTTGTGTCCTCAGCCAAGTCAGCAGCGCAAACCTCCTGGTTCAGGTGAGCTGACACAAAATAACCTGACATTAAAAAAAATATATGTATTATATATTATCTTGGATTAGGATTTCTCCCCAGCTTGGAGAATTGGCTCTTTTACTTATGTTTCTTGTTTTTAAGTGAACAGGAAGCATACCTCAAATTAGAGATTATCCCTTCCTTATTAACCAAAAAATCTCCATTCTAAAATGTAAAGTTATTAAATCTCATGCCAGACCTCCAAATTGCCARTGAGGAATGAGGGGAAAATGTGTGATGTTTTCCAGGCTGCGCATGGCCGAGCGGAGCAGGGGATGAGAGCAGCCAGCGCGGAGCAGCGTGTCCAGCTCCGGAGGCCGGATCCCGGCACCCCTGGTTGTGTCCGTGTCTCCCGCCTCCCTGTCTCCCCCTCTGCTCCCCATCCCTCTCTCCATGTGCATTTTGTCTCCTCCTCCTCGGATGCGTGTGTCTGCATCTCCGCTCTCCTCCCTCTCCTCCATCGCCTGGATCCTGAGGGACCTGGGAAAGGGAAAGGTCCGGGCGCTTGGCGGGATTGTCCTTCTGCCCTGCTGCCTTTGCCGGCTCAAGGGTAGTATCCCTGCGGGCTGGAGCGGAGCTGTTCCCGCCGGCGATGTGATCGCGTAGCAACCGGCGAGGAGGAGGAGGAGGGCGGCGGGAGCCCCAGCATGCGGCCCCGGCACCGCCGCCTCCCTGCTGAATCACAGCCCCGGCGCCCGCTGCCCGAGCCCGGCGCGCTCCCAAGGTAGGCCCTGCCCGGAGCYGGGAAGGCGCTTGGATCCCGGGAACGCGCTCGGGGTCCGCGCCGGTGCCTTCGCGGTGGCACCATCCCTGTATCCGGGTAAGGGAACTTGCAGGGGTGGGATAAAAAGGGTGCCGGAGGGACACAGCAGGAGGGAGGAAGGCAGCCCAGACCCGTTCCCAGGGAGAGGCCACGGAGCGGCAGGAGATGCGAATCCCGGCATCCCGGTTAGCACCGGCTCCGCTGCTGCTCACGCTGAGGCTCCTTTATCCTGGCGGCGGAGCCGAAGGGCTGCTCGGAGCAGGGT